GTTCAAATTCAGCTTCCCCTTACCCGCGGTAACACGTACGGCCCCGTAAAAGTTATTTACGGGTAAGTTCATATCTCGAAAACCACGGAGTCTGGGAGGCTGAAATTTGAGACTAATGACCCCCTTGCTCACGCTCAACCTTGCCCATTCAAATTCAGCGTTCTCGCGCTCTCGGTTACCACTTACAGCCTCGTGGAAATTTTGGCGGGTAAACTATTAACTCGGGAATCATGGAAAGATATTCATCCTTCAAGGTTTCGAATCCAGCTTTCATACGCTGGTGCGTGAAATTTTTAACTGTTTTCCAATGTATGAACTATTTTTACATAGACTAAAGTACAAAGCAGTAAAAATCATTAAAAGGCAATCGTTCGATGGGCTGAATTGCACAAAACGCATGATCGCACCGGCTAGTCTGGTGCGCGTTACCATTTATTTCATTCGCGAGTTATGAATTTTCCCGCCATAGTTTTCACGTGCCCGTACGTGAGCCCTATTTATTATGTACTTTCCTCTGTGTTCCAAGTGCTTATTATATACTTTCCCACACAGGTCTTTGAAAGTGAACCATTTTTTTTTTCTTTTTTCGTAGAAATCAACATAATGACAGTTCCTGAAACGACTGGTAATTTATAAACTGGATCGTTTTTGCATATTATGCAAATGTAAAAACGCGTGTGTTTTTGAGAGTTTGGCCTGTGTGTGTATGTTCAAAAGCCAGCGAAATTTGTCGCCCACTTCCAGCTCAACAGTAGAATTTTGTCACTGACTTTTCTACTGATTTTTTCGGCATATAATGGTACCATTCCACTTTTCCTTATTTTGCCGTTACGAATCCAACTCCGGAGACCTGTGCAAGAGATCTGCAGAATTTAAGATATAACCTTATGCGCAAACAACCCACATGAACGTTGTAAGGTAAGTCGGACCTCACCCTTGTTCTTCGAACCCTTTCCTCGCTACCGGTAGTCACATTTTTCGTTTTTCCTTGCGACAAAAGTGCTGGAGGAGGCAGGAAGAGAAGTAAACGGCAACAACGGGGAGGGAATAAGTTGATTTGTGGATGTATCCATATACATTCGTTTTCCGATGCGTTTCTGCATTTGAGACCATGTCTTGGCATGTGTTTGTGTTCGGATACAACCCTTATGAAATTTAGGAGCTGGAAATGAGAAATGTGGAAAGGACTACTTCCTTGTCGTGCACGGGATCACAGCCTAAAATAATTCGTTTCATTCGCTCTTTGATGTGACCTAACAATAAAATGTAATTTTTAAAGCAATAGAAGAAAAATAGATTTTTTACGAAAAAAAAGAGTATCGCACGCAAAGAGAACTGTGAAATTTAAATAGAAACAGATTATTTAAAAAATAGTTGAACGGGAATGCTTCTGCCCGATGAGTCATATATGTCCCATTTTAGTTCCACAACTGGACCTTGTCAGTACGTTAATGGTTGTAGTACTATTATAAATTCAGCCCAAATATGTCTTAGTTCGTGAGTCAAAAATCAACAGAACTAACACAGGATGTTTGCGGCCAAATAACGTTCGGCAAACACTTTGATATCCGATTCCAGAACACACTGCATTTCGAACTCTAACTTCAAATTTAAATTTAGGTGGATTTTACACAGTAAATGGAGCAGATCAAGAAAATTCGAAATTACTGGATTTTAATTCTGCAGCATGAGTGGAGCGAATGACTCGAGATCAGCTTTCAAAGTGTTTCGTGGTAAAACCACCGTGCATGGCTGAAATTCCGCGATTCGGAAGAATATAGCAAGCCATTAGTGCGGGAATTTTACTGCACTTCACATGCTAGCCAAACCAACTCAGGCTGGAACGCACCAGGTGGGCCCGTGCGATCATGCATTTTTGCAACGAACTTGAAGTACTCAGGTCATGAAATGCATGAACTGTTGTTGCTTTACACCTACCTTTTTGCGATCACTAGCATAAATCACCATAAATTTTGCACAATTTCCATTTAACGGCCGTTCTTTAAAAGTAACCTGGCTTTAAAAGTAAGCTGGCTGCACCAAAACTTTTAAGTGCCCGTACTTAACAACCACACATATCTTAAGGTTGAATTTGAAATATTTAAGTCGTACTTGCCCATATGCGGATATTCCACATGCCTGGAAAGCTAAATTTGAAATTTTTTAATTGCGCGTATTCAGAGAACATCCCCCCAAAATTTCAACCCTCCAGCTTTTCTGGTTGCGAGTTAGCAATTTTCCCGCAGAAACTTCCATACGCCCTTACGTGAATACCGCGCATACGGGTGGGCTGAATTTGAAATCTTTAGCTAGCACATGCACAGAGAATATCCCTACAAAGTTTCAGCCCTCTAGCTTGTGTGATTCCCAAGATCGCTTTCCCGTCAAAAAATTTGCAAATTTTTTTAAGACTTCCGTACGCGGCACCCAAGCGTCCGCAGGGGATGAAATTAAAACGGGAGGGTCGCGCATGGTATGGGCACATACTCCCAAAGTTTCAGCCTTCTAGCTTTTCTGATTCTCGAGTTGGAAGTAGGTGACAGAAAGTGCGAACACACAGACGCATACGTACATACATACACACACATACACACACACACACACACACACACACACAGACAGCCTCTTCCCAATATGCGTTTTTGCAATTTGCA